GATGTACTTCACAGTGCCTCCGAACGGTGTGGCGAAGCTGCACTTCGGGGCGCACTTCCAGGCGCCGGGCCTGCCCAACCAGACGGCTGGAACGGTGGACGTCTACGGCCTCCAGATCCTGGACGCAACCCTGGAGGTCGGCAACACGGAGGAGGAGGAGGACTCGGCGGCCTCGGCCCTGCTGCTGAAGCACGAGTTCCTCGACGGAGGGGCCGACGACGTCACGCTGGCCACCCTGGGCGAGGTGCTGCTGGAGCCCACGCTCACCACGCTAGGCAATTTTCTGGTGCGCTCCAACAGCCAGAGCTCCGTGGCCTCGGCCAGCTTCACGGTGGGAAGCTTCCAGCTGGAGGGCTACGCCATGACCCTGAGCGCCTTCGCCTGGAACATCGTGCGCACCTACACGCTGACGCCGGACTACGTGGGCGTCACCGGCACCTTCCTCGGCACGCCCTCGCAGGGTGTCTGGAGCACGGCGCGCCTGGACTTCTCGGTGCCGCCGCACACAATCGCGAAGCTGCACTTCGGAGCCTTCGGCGGGTCTATCCCCGGGCTGGTGCAGCAGTCGGCGGGCACGCTGGACCTGTACAGCATGCAGATCAGGGCCTCGGCCTTCGAGGGAGAGTCGGTCTCCGTGACGGACCTGCTGGCGGACTCGCTGGCCCTCACGGGCTTGGCCACGCTGGACGGGCTCACCGCGCAGGGCAACGTGGGCTGCGACCAGCTGCTGTGCAACGACGTGACTGCACGTCCACGGGGGCCGTGTCAGGCAGCTCGCTGAGCATCAGCGGCGCGGCCAGCGTGGGTCTGCTGAGCTCCGCCACCGGAATCACGGGCAGCACACTCACCATCAACAACACGGCCAACGCCGGGAACTTCACCACGGGGGGCGACGTGTCCACGGGCACGCTGACGGCCTCGGGCGCAGCGACCGCGGCGAGCTTCGCAGCCACCGGCGCGCTCACGGGCGCCACGCTGACGATCACCGGTGCGGCCTCCACGGGCCCGCTGGACTGCGAGAGCCTGGACTGCACCTTCACGGCCACGAGCGGTGGAGTGTCGACGGGCAGCGTGGTCTGCGGCGATGTGACAAGCTCGGGCACGGTCTCCGCGCCGCAGCTCTTCGCCTCCAACACGCTCATCGTGACCAACACTTCCGACTTCTCGGACGATCTCTTCCTGACGAAGAACTGGGCGGGCTGGAGCAAGCTGCAGACTTCCAACAACAGCGCGGCCTCCGACAGCGGCCCGGAGCTGCGGCTGCTGGGCGAGCGCCAGGGTCTTCCTGGAGCGGGACGGCGGGACGCACCAGTGCGAGCTCATCATGCTCAACGATGAGGCGCTGGTGCAGACGAAGAGCCTCTCGACGCAGTCCTTGACCACGAACCAGAGGAACCCAGGCTGCCTTGCGGACAACACGGGCAACGTGGTCTGCAACACGAGCGTGAAGACGGAGATGGTCGAGGACGACTTCGCAGGAACAAAGTGGAAGAACCTGACGGGCAGGCACGGAGATGGTCACCCTCGACTACTCCCCCGGCTGGACGAGGGGAAGCCTGGCAGGCCCAACATGGCCGACGCCCGCAGACGAACCATCAAGGCCGTCCACGAGGATCCCCGCACCGGTTTTGCGCATGGCGCAGACGCCCAAGTGCGCGACCCTCTCTCTGTTATTTGTGAAATCTAAAACCGCTCACAGCGCATCTTCAGAGGTTATCATTCAGCAAATGTGGATTCTGCGAAAATTTGGTGGTTTTGCGCGGTGCGGCCACAGCCCTTCTGCTTGCACTTCTGCAAAGGTTTTCAGCTTGCTTCAATATGCAGGCAAAACGGGTCCTAGTCGCATTCTGTGCGTCTCGGAATTTTAAGTTGCCCGGGCTTAAAGTGCTGTTTCTGGCCTTGTAAGTGCGTTTCTGTTGCGGAGCTTTGTGGCTCGAAAAGCATGATAAGTGCTTTCTAAGCGCAACGGTAACTCATAGCAGAAGGGTGGAATTCTCTTGGCCTCATTTGCTGCATGTGAGCCTTGGGTTGCGTCTCCGTCAATCCTCCGGCAACAGGATTGCTGTGCTGGGTTAGGGCAGCCGCAGATAGGCAGCGCCGTATACTTCAGCTGCCGGCTTCCGGAACTTGCGTAACGCAAAAGGACGAATGGGGAAGATCAAGCTTTTCCCCACGCCTGAGTACACCAGCAAGCAAGCCTCGGACCCCGTGGTGCCCCTGGTGCCATGCACGGGCATCTTCCTTGGGCCCAGCAAGTCGGGCAAAACTGTGGCGCTCATCAGTCTCATCCTGGAGCAGTACAAGGGCGTGTTTGAGCGGATCTACGTTTTCAGCCCAAGCGTCAACATCGATGATGGCTGGATCCCCGTCAAGAAGTACATCGAGCAGGACCTGGGGGTGAACACGGAGCGTGAGCAGGCTTACTGGGACGAGTGGGATGAGTCCGCCTTGCGGCGCATCATCCAGCAGCAGCGCAAGATCACGGAAGCGTCCAAGAAGTTGGAAATGAAGAAACTGTACCAGGTGCTTGTAGTCATCGACGACTTTGCTGACACGCCGCAACTCCACAAGCCGCATGGCGCCCTTGACACGCTCTTCATCCGAGGCCGTCACATGCAGATCAGCACCTGGGTGAGCTCGCAGAAGCTGAGGCTCATCAGCGCAGCCGTGCGGGTCAACATGCAATTCCTCTGCTGCTGGAGGCTGCGCAACCAGCACGAGCTGGACGCCGTCATCGAGGAGCTGAGCGCCCTGCTGCCGAAGGAGCAGCTGTACCGGCTGTATGAGCAGGCGACCCGAGAACCTTACAGCTTCCTCTTCGTGTACTACCTGAAGCCGAAGAACGAAATGTTCAACAAGCGCTTCGAAGAGCGTTTCGCGCTTGAAAAAGACGCCGATGGGAGCGGCGCTCAGCTTCCTGGGCCAGAAGCTGTTCGCCAGCTCCACGCTGATCAACGCGAAGTGTGAGAACATCTCCTGCTGCACTTCCGTCGCAGCCGTCCAGCCGCCCGTCGTCCGCCGGACGGGTGGTTTCCTAAAGAAAAGGATGACAACGATCTACGTGGACAGCCGCAAGAGGGTGGCCGGCTCGGACAGTGACTTTGAGGTCGACCTGGGAGAGTCGCTGCACCTGCAGAGCGACGCCCGCTTGGCTGGGTTGGGCTCGCGCTTCGGTCGCTGGAGTGTTGCTTCCGCCGGGCAGCGGTTGGCCTTAGGGAATGGGATGCGCCCATAAGGCAAAGGCATGGGGAGGATTAAGCTCTTCCCCACGCGGCGATTCTGATCCCAATGGTTTGGTGTCATGCAAGTGCGCCAGCCGAGGCGAAAAGCTCTTCCCCACGCCCGAGTACACCTCCAAGCAGCCCGGCGACCCTGTCGCGGCCTGTACTCGCAGCAGCCCGGAATTGCTCCAGCCTCTGTGGCTGCGTCCGGCCCTTTCCCAGAATGCGACCACAGCCCCTGAGGGCGCAATCCTGCCTTTGGGGTCGGCAGATTTCCCTTGTTCATTGCCTGTCTGGGATGGGCCTGCAGCGGCTCTGGAAGCGTTTCTGCTTGTTCATCGCCTGGCTGCGGCAGTTCGAGGCAAGCTTCGGCGTGCAGGAAGAAGTTCATCGCCTGGTCGGAAGGGTCTGCGGCAGCCTTTTGCTGGCTTTTCTAAAATCGGGGAACTCCCTACAAATTCCGAGCCCGTATAAAAATTACAAAACCGGATTTTGTTGTTGAAAAAAGGACCTTCTTTTTTGCGGAAACAAGTTTTCGCCACAATGGCTGCCCACAATCTGGGGCAGGCTGCGGCAAATGGACAGCTGCTGGCTGCGCTGCTGCAAGCCGAGGCCTTGCTGGGTGATCGAAGGGGACGAGCCCTGGCAGCCCGAAACGCGGGCGAAGCTGGCCAACCGCCTAATCTACTGCTGCCACCTGCGCGTCAAGACTCAGGGTTTGGGATGCGCTAAAAAAAAGCAAACCGTGGCCATGGGGAAGATCAGCTTGTTCCCAACGCCCTGGAATCTGTGCGCAGCGGGGACAGAAGTGCCATTTGTTCGCTGGATACTTGCTCAAAAGCCCCATCCGCCATTCACCTGCGAGAGCTTGTTGACCAACTGCTTGCCCCGAGATTGCCCCGAGAAAGCCGAGAGAGAACTCGGGTGGTGAAATGGCGCACAGTTGGCAGAAAAAAACACCAGCTTCAGCCATTGACGCTTCATGACATGCTACCGCGATTCCTGGAAGTAATGACATTGTCGCTCCATGCGTTTCTCCCTGATCGCCACCTTCAACAAATAGCATCAAACACCTGTGCACAACTTGGCTCAAAAAGATCAAACTGGCAAGCCACGAGAGCAATTCTTTCCCCCGCACTTCTTCAAACGGCTTGGTACTGCATCCGCGCGCTTTGGCACAGGGAGGAACGCCGCAGTGAAACAGCTGTTGACCAGCGCCGGCAACTGTTGCTGGTCCTGTACCCGTTGCAGGCATTCCCTGCTTGACTTGAACACCGTTGCCTGATGTTCAAAAGTGTGAACAGTTGCCTGCCTTACCCTTCAGGAGTCAAGCAAAGTCGCACTGCAACGAAACAACTGTGCCTGCGAACGCATGCTTTTGTCACTGTACGAGGTGAAACGTTGTGCGCCAGCATTGCCTCAGCCGAGAACAGTGACCACAGCCAGCAGTAGCCTGTCAACGATGCAAGTTCACAAGTGTAGAACACCGCTGCGCCGCTGAGGTGCCTCAAACTATGCGACTCCAGCAATTCCAGCTGGTAACGTGACAAACTATGTCACCGATTTGTGGAAATTTGCCGCCAACCAAGAGCTTCACAGCAAGCCGCACTGCAACGAAACAACTGTGCCTGCGACTGCACTTGTTTGTTCCTGTAAGAGGTGAAACGTTGTGGGCCAGCATTGCCTCAGCCGAGAACAGTGACCACAGCCAGCAGTAGCCTATTAACGACGCAAGCTCACAAGTGTAGAAGACTGCTGCGCTGAGGCAGGTGCCTCAAACTATGTGGCTCCAGCAGCTCCAGCTGGCAACATGAATCCGTAGCAGTCTGCCCTGACAGCTGGGCGACGGCACAACCCAAAGTTGAAAGGCATCGGAACCAAGTGCTGGGCTCATCTGTGTTGCGCAGACTTGATGACATCCTTGTTTCCTTGACCCAGCGGCCGTCCTGCAAAGTCCAGCTGAGAGACGGCAATGGGGTGGGGTGTGGGGGATGGAACAAATGGGGTGCGCTTTGACATGCAAAGCTCTCCTTCCGGCGGTAAATGTCCATTTGATAGGCATCGCAGGATACAGTATTTGGGTTCTTCTGCTTGATGGCCTCAAGCAACGCTCAGAGTTGAAATCATTCAAACCCTCCATCTTTGTCATCGCCCTTCTGCAAACAGCTCGCAAGACGGTATGAGCGAAATTCGGCTTGAGGGCAGCACTTCCTTCAAGTATGCCTGCCAACATTGAAGCTAAGACGCACAGCATCCTCCAAGTTCAAGTTCACACAAAAAGTGATCAAAATGCATTCAACAAATACATGGCAGGGGTGCTATGTTTTGCGGCACTGGGTCGATTGGAAAAGCATTGCCAGCGGGCTGGAAGCCGCCACTGCCCTGCAAGGTCAGGGAGCCAGGGCAAAAAAAAAAACACAACATCTCCATTGAATATTGAAGGTGGGCGACAATTTGAGAGCTCTTCTGAGAAGGAAGTCGACAGCTTTTTTCCGAACATGAATGCAGGGCAAAACTGCTCACAGCTGCTGGTAAGGTCCAGGCAGGGCTTCCCAGCTGACAGACCCACACTGCTGGGGGTCGTTGCGGGGCGGCACTGCCTTGCAGGCGGCAATCTGAGCGCGCAACGTGAGAAGTGCGTTTGTTGCTTTCCACTGGCCCGGAAAACTGGTCGAGTTTCGCACTCCACGTTCTGACATCTTTCGAAGCCAAAAAACAATGCTGAGTTTGAATGTTCAAAAAAATCCAGCCTGGCTCAATGTACTTGAATTTCTGGGCAGAACTGATCTCAAAGAATGGTTCTTCATCCTTCCAGGAGAACCCTCTTGCAACTCCATCGCACGGGATGTGGAAGTCAACAACTTTCTCACCTTGCCGCTTGACGTAGACATAGTAGCCGGTGTGCGATGGATTGGGCGCAAGTCCGACCACTTCTATACCGTCCCGCACTTTTCCCACAATCTCTCTCATGTCTCCACATTTGCCAATGATCAGCAAGCACTTGTGCTGTGCATGTGCATAGTTTGTCATCGACGCGCTTTCAAAGCGATCTCGATGCTTAGCAATGCTGGTTGCTCCCCGAGAAGACATGACCGCTTCAATGGCGAAAGTTGAACCGTCCTCCAACGTAGTATAGATGTCAACCTTCCCCTTTTTTGTGCTCTCCAAACTATTTGTACTACCAACCAAGCGCTTCAACTCCCGAACTGCGGCATGGGTGTAGTGAACCTCAAATGGGAGCTCTTCTTGCGAAACATCAGAACGAATTCCGAACTTGTCCCCTTGGATGGCCACCACATCTGCAAAAAGCAAGTATGGCAGCGCTCGCAAGAGCAAATCTGTGCAAGAAGTTGGGCTTCTGTCCACATCCACTGTCAGCTGCCGCTTCTTCGCAAGCGCTTGGCGATAGTAGGAAGCCATCATGTAATTGGCGACGCCATATTTTGTCCCGAGCTTTGCCCAATCCAATGGCGTAAACTCCTCTGGAATTCTGTCAGTCGCTGGCACAACAGGAAGCGTGAAACCAACTAAAGTGAGCTTGCGCCGGAGATTCGCGTCCATATCAGCAGTTGGACCCTCGCACAAGATGTCCACAAATTGTTGCGGTATGCTCTGCGGGTCTGAAAAAGCTCCGTTGACACGAATGGCGCGAACAGTCTGAAGCTTCCCCATCAAGCTGTCATCTGGGGTTTCTGTCCAATTGTCTGTGTCCCATGCCTGACTGACTTCGCCTTGTGCGCGAGTCAAATCCCAGCGAGTGCTGTCCCCGCTTTGCTTCTGCTGCACCCATTCCATGCTTCTTATGAATAGACTTCTGTGTCCAGCACAAAAGTCCATGAAGAAAGCAACCGCATCCTGGGACAAATAGACATCAGCCTCAGCAAGTTGATCAACAAGTTCATTGGCATGTGGGATTGGGGGAGTCCACATGTACTTTGCAGTAACTGCCGCTGGTGTTAAGTAGGTCCGTCCTTGCTGATCTGTTCCTTCAGACGCTGCAGATAAGAGCAGAACCATTGGACGCCTTTTCAGACACGAGGGCTTTTTCAGGAACTGCTCGTGGAACTCGGGGCAAGCAAAGAGCAAGTGGCATTCATCGAAAACCAGGACTTGGTCATTGTCATAGATCAATCTTATCATATCTTGCAAGTCTTTGTCTTTCACATTCGAGTTTTGTCCCCAAACAGCTGCCCTCATCTTTCTGTCCCACATCTCAAAAATGGTTGCATCCTTTGCAAGTGGGGCATGGACTCCAAAATACTTGGACGGCTGTGTGGTACACAAATGCTGCGCCAATGTAGACTTGCCGCTTGCCACACCAGCACGTAGAAAGACCACCCTCTCATCTTGCAACAAAACATCCAGCTTGCGAATGGTTTCATCCAAGGGGATGAACACGTCGGTGGTGAAGACGGCGGGATCCTCTGCTTTGGGAATTCTGCGCTTCACTGGCATCTCTTCTGGATATATCTTCTGCGCTTTTCCTGAGCTCAACCCTTTCGCCGCTCTTGCAACCCCGACCAACGTGCTGCTCCAGCGGCGCAAAACGGCTTTGGTCTCTTTCACCGTGCCGTTGTCCTCCAGCACCCTGTCGGCTTCTGCGACCACCTGAGCGAGGCCAAGCTGGGACGTCGCTTTCTCTGAAGGTCCGCCGCCTCCTCGAGATCGCGCCGGTCCTGACAACCAACAAGCCCAGCGTTCAAGCCTGATGCACGTGTCCCCGGCCTCCGCACCACTGTCCTGGCACGATTGCAACCGGCCAAATTTACAACTGCTGATTGGAGCGTCCTGCTGCGGGCTGGCGCGCGAAGCAACTCCGCCACGCCCAGGGTGCCAGCTTGTCACCTCAAGAGGAGCTAAGAATCCAGGCAAAGACAATTACAGTGACACCGAGATCTGGACCTGCGCCCTGCGAGAATCCTGGCGCACCAATTGCAACACACAACACAGGAGCCCTGACTCACAGCCCCAGCAGTGCGCACGAACGGACGTCCTCTTTCAAGCCCTTCAGGGTTGCTTTGGCCTGCGTCGCACGAAAACCGCTTGTGAATCTCAGACAAAGCACGCAGTCCTGCCTCTTCCACGAACTCGCGCAGTTTTTGCTTCAACTCGTCTTTCTTCCCTGAAAGCGTCCACTTCCCTGGGGTTATCTTCTGCGCTTTTCCTGAGCTCAAACCCTTCACCGCTCTTGAAAACCCCGACCCATGTGCTGCTCCAGCGGCGCAAGACAGCTTTTATCTTTTCCACCGTGTCGTTGTCCTGCAGCACCCGTTTGGCTTCTGCAATCGCCTGAGCGAGGCCAAGCTGGGACCTGTCCTTTCTCTGAAGGCCTGCCGCCTCCTCGAGATGGAGCCGGTCCTGGCAGCCAAGAAGCCCAGCGTTCTGATGCACATGTCCCCCAGGCCTCGGCATTGTTGTCCTGGCAACTGCAATCGTCCAAACTTGCAAGCTTTGGGTCCGAAGGTCCTCTCGTGCCCTGGCACGCAAGGCGACTCCAGCATGCAACCAGCGCTGGCTCGATGCCTCACTAAGCTCGCAGGATGCGAAAAGGGTCAATCTGCTTGCGTTAGTGGACAAGTCTGAAGATTGGGCCGGTGCGCCGTTGCGGTCCTCACATCACGGCACAAGCATGAACATTCGCAAAGAGGGACTTCACGGTCCTTCCGACCGGGAACTCCTCGCGAAAACTCGTGGGCGGCGGACAGGGACTCCTGAAGCCCGAACGAGTCAGCTGCCAACCCCTCAACGTTCCCAAGACCCAGGCCGTGCTCGGCCACTGCAATGAGCAACGCCAGCGCATTCCCAGGCTGAGGCACGCACCTTGCAAAACCACACAACAAACAGCGCAGCATATCAGCTTGCGGGCCTTGGCTTTTTATCCTGGCCCTCATCACAGCCATGGCCATTCCTGAACTTCACGGGCCTGCAAGGCCAATCCTACCGCTGGATACGTCGGCAATGTTTGCCCAGTGCCTTCAAGCATTTGATGAGCACTCTTGGGCGGCTGACGACTTCTTGCGTGCCAACATGTCCTTGCTGCTTCGTGTTATGTTGGTCCACGTGTTCACGACCCTACGCGGCTTGTTTACTAGCACTCTGGTTGCCGCTGGCGCTGCTGGAGCCGTCAAAGACGCCACCTTGCCGATGCCCTTGCACTGGACTGACACTCAAAGCTCCTTTCGCTCCCCGAATGCCCCAAATTGCCTGTACAGTCACAAAGAACAACTATGCTATCTCGCCGCCGGGGGTCAAAAGGTAAGAGTCTGCCAATACACTTCAAGAGCATTGCGAACTTCGCATGGAGGCGGACACTGCTGATTTTTACATGGCTGGCATCCTTCATGGAAGAAGAGGGTGTCCCCGGCCTCGGCACTGTTGTCCTGGCGGCAACCGGCAAAAGATGCGAACAGGCTTCGGGTCGGAGGAGTCCTCTTGCGCAGCCCCGGCGCGCCGAGCGACTCCGGCATGCAACGGGTGCCGTTTTGCCTGAAAGAGCCAAAGTGCAATCTGCTTGCGCCCGCGGGCAACTCTGAGAACTGGGCCAACATGCTGTCCTGGCACTCAGCACGAAACAAGAACATCCAAAGGAGGGACTTCATGCTCCTTGAGCCCAGGAACTCCTCGAGCAAAGTCCTGGGCGGCGGCGACAAGGGACTCCTGAAACCCGAAAACCTTCGAAAAAAATGTGTCCCAAGACCCAGGCCGTGCTCGGCTGCACGAGCAGCGCCAATGCAATCCCGAGAAGGCAGAGGCACATACCTGGCCGCTGCCTACCGCGGGCACGGAAGCGTCACAAGCTTGCCAGCCTCGGCTTTTGGTCCTGGTCCGCATCATCGCCATGGCTATTCGAAAAGCGCTTGAGCGGCCTGCGATTCCTCAAGCACTGGCACTAGACCCATCGGGCAACCATTGCGAGCTGTTGTTGTGTCAGTGTTGATGAGTACCCTCGAGCCAAGTTTCCAGAGCACACACAAGATTGACTGGCTTCTTTGGCAACACCAACGCACGGGTTTGGATGCTCCTCCTCCTTTTCACTCGCGGCCTGAAGGTCGGTCGGGCCAAGCCTTGCAAGGCTTCGCAGCGTCCATCTGTCAGACTAGATGACCCACATCCTGCCGCTGCATCAAAGTCCAAGCGAGATACCAAACTGGCCTGCCTGCAAAACAAGCAGCCGAAATCGGCACCGGGCCGCCAGGGCCTGAAGGGCGGGGGTTTCTGGCGTCCCTGGTCCCTGGGATCACTGGGGCCTCTGGGGTCCCTGGGTCCCTAGGGTCCCTACATTCCCTAGGGTCCCTCCTAAGGTTTCTAGGGTCCCTAGAGTCCCTGAATCTGCACACGTGTGCATCAGACGTCTCGCCAAGGCCCCAGAGTGCGCTCGTCCCTGTCAACGCACGGCGGGTTCAGGGACCTTGGGGACCTTTAGGGAATTTAGGGACCTTAGAGACCTTTAGGGACCCTAGCAACCCTGCAAACCCTACCCTAGGGACCCTAGGGACTCCGAGGACTTCAGGGACCCAGCGACCCAGAGACTTCAAGAGATCCTTGGTGGCCACAAGGATTTTGGGGCTTGAAGGGATCTTGGCAAGAACTTCACGCCGGGTACCATTCAGCCTGGGCATTCTCCAGCATCATAGGGTCATGCAAAAACACAAAATGCCGAAGCCAAGACACACACACACACACATTGCAAATGGGCCACAACACCACAACATCATCTCCCAACTACAAACTAGAAAACACCATGTAGAGACATACCAACATAAAGGCACAAAGACATAAAGATATAAAGATATAAAGAGAAAGATACAAAGATACAAAGATATAAAGATATGAATTTGTAGAAATACAAAGATATAAATATATGAAATTCATAAAGAGATACAAATACGTAGAGATATGAAGATATAAATGTATGGAAATAAATAGATTTGAGTACACGAAGATAAATAGATGTATGGAAAGTTGCTCGAATGGGAAAACAACAGAAGCTTTGCCCTTCCGCGCGTCTTTGTGTCCCCTTGCGTGGCAAGCTGCAACCAACCGAAGCTTGAGAGATGACTTCACACTTCACAGGATCTCTTGCCCCCAAGACCCAGGGTTGCTGGGGTCCCTAAGGTCCCGTGGGGTCCCTAAGGTCCCTTAGGGTCCCTAAGGCCCCTAGGGTCCGTAAAGGTTTCTGGGGTCCCTAAAATCCCTGAAAACGCCGTGTGTTGACAAGGATGTATGCACTTTGGGACCCTGGCCAGACGTCTTGATAAAAGGACGTTGCTTCATGGCACCTGCAGCGGACGCACGCGTGCCCAGGGACCCAGGGACCCCAGGGACCCCAGGGACCCCAGGGACCCCAGGGACCCCAGGAACCACAAAGATCGCAGGGACCCTCGGGACGGTTCCAGGGGTTCCAGGGGTCCAGGGGTTGCAGGGGTTCCAGGGGTTCCAGGGGGTTCCAGGGGTTCCAGGCATTCAGGGGTTCCAGGGCTTGAGGGGTTCCAGGGGTTCCAGGGGTTCCAGGGGTTCCAGGGGTTCACTGGGTCAAAGATCAAGGGGGCTGACAGATTGGTGACAAAGATCAAATGACAATAACCTGCACGGGACTTCTTGGCCATGACAATGGAACGCGGCGAGGGCCCGGGCGGAAGCTCAAAAGTTCGCAGTGCCTGAGCGCCAGGAAAAAAAAAAAAGATTTTGAGGAAACCACGCTGCCTGACTTACAAAAAACCTGACAGTACGACTTGACGGTGTTGGGGCAATTGCTCTCAAGGTCAAGGGTTCACCAGGTTGGAGAGACAATACAAAATGCGGGCCTGGCTCAACGAGGTCACGATTTCCAAAGATACACGGGCCTGACGGCGCGGCTTGACGGGGTTGGGAAAAGCACACAAAAAAGCAACGCGAGTCGCGCAAATCCTGGCACGGGACGGGGGGGGGGTGTCCGGGCCTCGCTAGGCCAAAGATCAGGGGGCCTGACAGATTGGCGAGTTGGGACCCAAACCTCAAAGATCAGTTGGCATTGATGGCCATGACAACGGAAGCAGCGAAGGTCCGGGCAGTATGCCTCGATGTCAAAACAAAGCCTGGCACGGGGAAGCGCGAAAACACGACCTTCAAAATCCAGGACCAAACCTGAAACACTGCTCAAAGGCCGAGTTGACACCAATCCGCACAGGTGCCCAGCCACAGAGTCCCCAGTAGCACGAATTGGATCCACCTGCAAGCGGCCAACAAAAAGTGACAAAAAGGCAACTCCAAAGCGCGGCGCTGCGAGAAGATCTGCACGTCGAAGTCTGGGCACAGGGCACGTGAGGTCAAGAAAAACTGTGAGTCTGAAACCACGCCTTTGCACCCGCGAGCGGTTCCCTGCCGCCCGACCCCAGAACGTCCCCGAATCTCGCCTTCACAAGGCTCACGTGCTTGGGGAAGCTCTTTCCAAACACGACCGACAACGTGAAAATCATGAGAAAAACGCAACACCGGCAACCTGTCATGCAAAATCACGCTCAAAAACCACGCAAAGCTGAATTTACGGAAAAACAAACAAAATGGCGTTTTTTTCCGGAAATGGCGGCCCTCGAGCCGCGTGAGCCGAGGGCCGTCCCTTTAGTCGGACCATTTTGTTGTCCGCCCTATAGAAAAAGGACCGGCAAGCAAGAGTCAAGATGACTGCCATCGCCACTAGGGCAAGCAATGCGGCCTGGTGGAGGTCCGCGACCTGCAGGTGAAAAACTGCGTTCTTTTTATCGTGGATGTCAGACGTAAGCGAGCGCGCCCGTAACTGACCCCCAGGTGCCCTAGGTGCCCTGGGTGCCCTACCGACCTGAGCCGGGGCGGGTCCCGCCCAGGTGCCCTAGGTGCCCTGGGTGATCCTCTCAACCAGGACCTGAATTGCCAGGGTCCTCTTGGCCAGGATGTAACCGACCTGAGCCGGGGCTGGGTCCCGCCAGAAGTGCCCCCCTGGCAGGGTCCCCGGCGCCGGGCAGATCCCACCCGAAGCGCCCTAGGTGCGACCCGTTGGGCGAACCATTGAAAAACGAATCCCCCCGGGCCCGTTGGGCAGACCATTGAAAAAGAATTCCGAAACCCCTCCAGACCCGTTGGGCAGACCATTGAAAAAAAAAATCCAAAACGAATCCGCCCGGGCCCGTTGGGCAGACCATTGAAAAACGAAACCCCTCCAGACCCGTTGGGCAGACCATTGAAAAAAAACCGAAACCCCTCCAGACCCGTTGGTCGAACCATTGAAAAACGAATCCTCCCGGGCCCGTTGGGCAGACCATTGCAAAAAAAATCCGAAACCCCCTCCAGACCCGTTGGGTGAACCATTGAAAAACGAATCCACCCGGGCCCGTTGGGCAGACCAT